TTTTTCCTTCCAATTTCCCGGAGAACCAGGTTCATCCATAGTTTCAACTCTGGGAAAAGAAATGGAACTATGGATCTGTTATGGTTTGCACAGCTTCTCACTAGAGGGCAGCATTTATCCATATTGACTTCTCTATTTCATAAAGGACTCACCAACACTGGAATCTCAGCTCTTTTGTGTGAACTGAAACCAGGAAGTATAATATACTCACATTCTTGTCCATGCGACCTAGCACCTAGCAGGTGTTCAATGCATGTTTGTTGAACAAACAAAATTTCTACATTAAATGAACGGTGGGACAATTAGTATGTATACACACACTTACCACCTGCCTGGCCATTTCCAGATGTTTAATAAATGACTGTGGACTGATGAACTAAAGTGAGGGAAAGGAAAGGTTTTATGTTTTTCCATGTGGTAAATCAGTATTAAGAAGTAATATAATGAAATAAAGGATTCAAGGACGGAGGAGAAAGGATTCGGGTACTAAACTCTGCCACTCAATTTCTGGATTTCAATTTCTTCATCTGTAACATGAAGATACCTCAGCTGCAAAATGAACCACCTCATGAGTTTCTGGGGGAATCAGAGAAGATAATACTGTAAAGTTCTCCATAGAGCGGCAAACACCTACTAGATACAACACAGGAGAGCTGTTTTTATCGTTACGGATACAAGTATAGAAAAGGGCAGGTGTAAATGTGAATAGTGATTGACAAAATGAGTCTTCTGTAACCACGATGTGAAGAAAGACTTAATTCTACTCATAAAAAGTCAACAACATTAATTACTCTGGGAACCAGGCAGTGCCAGAAGGCGACCTCCAGGAGAAAGAGTAGGTAGAACTTTTCATTCTTTTTAAGTAAGGTCTCAAAACAACTGCAACAGTTTTTCCTTCCCTCAAGACTAATTAAAGGACCATAGCTAAGCCATTTGTCTCAGTAATAATATAGGGAAATAATATCTCAACTCAATATCAGAAAAGAAGCGCTAGAAGCTTCATTTCCAATATTTATTGGCTATTACTAGCCTCAGGGCAATGTAGGGTCTTCCACAGGACTCATCCACAATCCACCACAACACAGGAGTTGAGCCAGGCTTAGCATATGCAAGAGTCCAGGGTTATATGAATTTGTACATGGATTTTTTTTTCTTTTTCCTAAATTTCATCTTTATTTCAATTCATTGTTGTTTCTAAACCTGGTATCTCTTGGCCATCTACAAAACAAAACAATTGAAAGCCTTGAATGAATTAACCTATGAATGCCATAAGCAACTAGTCTAAAAGTGTATGATTTTCTTTATTTACTTTACAAGGCCACATGACTGAATTTCACATTTTAAAATAATCTCCATGGCCTGTTAGATCAAAATTAAAAAAAAATAATAATCAAACTGTCTTTATCTTATTCATTAACTTACTTTTCTAGTTCTAGATTTTAAAAATTTATTTTAATTCATCAATTACCAAAAATACATATTTATTCATCTAACAAATATTTTTTGAAAGCCTACTATCTTCCAGTTCCTCTGTTGGGCATTGGAGATACAACACAGAGCAAGAGATTTGTGATTTCATGTTGGAGCAGCCTAAAATCTACATATAGAAATATATAAATACTTACATGGATCATACACACAAAGAGAAACACACACATTTCAATAAATGGGATACAATGTATAAGAAACATAAAAGTTGTGACATATTACAGGATCTAACAATTTTAAGGTAGCATATACATTAAAGGTGAGAGTACAAAGAATGAACAAGATAGAAAAATAAAATGCTAGAAGTAAACGATATGTTTTGACTATAGTCATATTTTGGGAGTTCAAGACATAAAGAGCTGCAGGGAAGGATGTACGATTTTGATGCAAGAACTGCGGAAATGCCTGTTGTAAATTAATCCTTATGGGTAATACGAAGCTATACAAGCCAGGGATCCATGGCTTTCATTGGCAATGGGACAACCAAGAGACTTAGAGACAGGGCAGCAGGTTAATAGTTAAGGGACCCCTTCACCAAGACTGCCATCAGCTCAGAAACTGCAGAAATCATTTTTAAGCATATGTTCTCTTTGAAGCATGTATTTTTTTCTGTAAATAAGAATTTGTAAATATGGAGGAAGTCATTGTTTATCAAACTTCCTCTGAGGTTTAGCAATGATGATATTTGTAATTAAATGCTAGTATTTCCCTTTCTTCAGATTAGCTATATTTTAAACATAATTACATATAACCTCCTCAGTGGTTGTTTCCTAGAATGTGTCAAAATTGATCTGAAGTGATTTGTTACTCCATTCATTCAATACA